GTGTCGTCTAGCACAATGTTTCATCACATTTTTTTTTTTTTTACGTCAACGTGTGTTTAGCTATACTCCGCTTCCTTGCGATGGATCGCAGATCACTCTATAAAGCCATTCCATCCAGCGCTCTCGCCTATGGCGTGATATCGCTGTGCCACTTTCGAAGATCACGTGAAACACAGTGGATTTGACTCGGATGGCTTGTATAGTGGTCGATCCTTCGCATCGGAGCCAGGGGTGTCCGAGTCTCTCCACATTTGGTTTCCGCCGCTTTGTAGCCCGAACCGACACTTTCCAGACTGATGACGTCATCAGACTATACGACCGGGCGAGGTCACGGATTGAACCCGAGTGATGCGCGAACGTTCGCCTGGAACTCGGGTCCAGTCGGCGCTTCGGCTGACGCTCGGCGTCCAATCACCGAGTCTGTGCGCCGTCGTATACTCTGGTGACGTTTCATGAAGAAAAGGTGTAGTGAGCTGTCTTTCATTGGAAGATGGCTAACAAGCGTGTCTTGTAGCGAGGTTTGTTATTTGTCGTTCTTCCGGTCGCTCGTATATGCTTCATTTCAGACGAGCTAATGGGGCCGATCAAAGCAGCGGCAAAAGCGCAAGTCACTGGATCTTCGCTGTTTATGATTGGGTTCAGCGACGATATATGGACACCTACAGAAACATGGCCAACGCCCTGGGGCCCTAAACTCGTCAAATACAAACTTGGAGGCAAAGTTGACGGAGCGCGCCGATTGGACAATCACGACAATGACTTCGCGTTTTTCTCGTCGACATCCAATCGGCGCGCTCCGCGAACTTTCGGCTACAACTTTGTATCTGACGAGTTTAGGGCCCCTGGGGCCCTAAACTCGTCGAACACAAAGTTGAAGCCCAAAGTTCGCGGAGCGCGCCGATTGGACGCCGCCGAAAAAAGCGCCAAGTCATCGTCGGGATCGTCCAATCGGTGCGTTCCGTGAGCTTCGGCCCAAACTTTGTGTTCGACGAGTTTAGCACCCCTGATTGCGTGTTTTTGTCGCTGTTCTCATTGGTTTCATGATCTTGTTGAAGCTGAAAATATAGCGAGACCAGACCCTGGGTGTATATAATCGTCTTCCCGGCAAGATATTATCTGATTTGTTTACCTTTATCATATTAATAACGTTGGTTTATGTTTCTGACGTGTCATATCAAGGCGGTGGCAGCGGCTGCGAATTGGCGCGTGCATGGTGGTTGCCTAGCTCACGTGGATAAATGATGTGGCTTTATGTACAATTATAAGCATTGAGTCGGAGCATATGAATTCATCGGCCATCATTTTAGTTTGAAAACGCATGCACGAATGTAGTTCATAAAAGTAACGTTGCGCTGCATTTTTAAAACTAGCGCGGTAACGCGTTTTGTTTGTCGTTCGAACCACCGAAGCTCTTAACGGGGAACTCGTTTTGAAGAGAAGAAAAAAGTAACGGTTTTCTGTTCTGCCTTTTGAGGAATGGGGTACGACAACAACACTGGCATTGAGAGATAAGACTGGGTTTATCAGAAAGACGGGGAGGTTATTAACCGAGCTGAATGGTGCTGCCTATGCGCCACTCGCTTAGAGTATCGGCACTCTGTTCTCCGATATTGTTGTGGACGCCGCCATCTTGGTGCTTGTGCGGAGCAGACGCAACTGCCGATCGTCGTGATTCAAAAGTGCGAATTCCTTAGCATTAGATTCGGTGTTATAGGAAGCTCGTGTAATATTGCTTCGCTCTGTCGTGGACCGTTTAAATGTTTGTAGAGGACGGAGAAGCGTTTCCTGTGATTTCAGATAAAGCCTCAGATAGCTGGCCATCATGGGCAAGTGTCGTTACCCTGAAGCTTAGCTTTATTCTAAAGTTGAGGCTTGGGCGAGTTGGTACATACTTCGGCATTAAAAACAGCGCGGAAATACGAGGACCAGACAAAGAAGTGACACGGACGTAGCGCTGACTTACAACAGAGTTTATTGAACGCAAAATCGCAATATATATTTGCGGTGTCACGGACAAAAGAGAAGAAAGCATTCAGCCCATATGGTGCATCACATGGGCTGAATTCTTTCTTCTCTTTTGTTCGTGACACCGCAAATATATAGTGCGATTTTGCGTTCAATAAACTCTGTTGTAAGTCAGCGCTACGTCCGTGTCACTTCTTTGACTGGTCCTCGTCTTTCCGCGCTGTTTTTAATTCCTTAGCTTATTCCTTGCTAGGTCGTCGTCTCTGTCTTCGTCTCTCTAATGTTCGTCTTTCTAATAGACCAATTTTTGTCGCTGGTTGCCAAAGCTTTCAACACAAACTCTTGGCAATGGGCGGGGCAGTTGTGTTCAACATGACTGTACACTGAAAGTATATTTCGAGAGTACCGCGATATATTTGTAATATCTGGTTATACTTTCAGCTTGGCTTTAGTGCGCTCTTTTTTAGCGGTACCAACTTCAAGTGCGGACTCACTCAAATGTTTAAATATACTTTAATTCTTGCCACGGACGTGAATGCCACCTCCACGTCCAACAAAACAGTCAGAAAGGAAAAAACAAATCTGTAGTTTGCGTCGAGAGAGAGAGAGACGCAATCGGAAAGAGGTGCGCAGCCTCGACGCGGGGGAGCGGACGACGGCGTCTGTGGCTTCCGATGATGGGGAACGATTGCCACAAGCTGCCTGGTTTCCCTTGGCGATGTTATCGGGCGCTGTTCACTGCTCTGCTCGCTTTGCTGGCTGAGAAGGGATGGAGGGGAGCTGGCTGGTGAACTCGCATATGGCTCTCTCTCTCGACGCTACTGCTGCCTAATGAATGCGCGGGGCCCTGATGGGATGTAGTTCGTTTCGCGATGTCGTGGTATATAGACCCTCCCCTCCTCTCTTTTTTGAAGGGTGGGATCTCGTGCACGTCTGTGTGGTGCGCGTGGAGCGTGCGACGAGGGCTTAGCTGGTGGCGCCAAAGCGTGTAACGGCGACGGGTGCTTCCTTAGCAATCGGGATTGCTCATCTCGCTGGTAGAAAGCGCTGCTAAAGTTGTGCTTGATGTTTTCTTATTTTTATGTTAGTTGCTGATGGGGCGGACGTTGTGTGTGTGTGTAGGGGGGGGGGGGGGTGGTTCTGATTATTGATCTTCAGGTTTGATTTCGGGGGAGTGTCGAATTGTGCGGCTCCCGCTTTTGCGCGCTGCGCGCGGTTTTCTGGATTGAACGACGCGTGCGTCTTTTGTTCTTGGTGGGAAAAGAGCACGTGTTGCCGGCGGTTTTGGGGGGGCTTGTTTCTCGTTGTGTTTGTTGCTCGTGCAAAGAGGGGATGCGTAGATTTGGAAACATGTGTTCGGCCTTTGTTTTGTCTTTGTTTTTTGAATAGCAAATTTCAGCTCTTAATGAGGTTACCTGATGTACCCAAAAAACAACTCGCCACTGTATTTCCTCTCAGCCTACCCCGCAGGGGGCACCTGCGTTAAAAGGTGTTCGGTGAGTGGCGTCACCACGGACCGCGATGATCCGACATTTCGGTGCCGTCTTTTCGGCGCACGAACGTCTCGGTGCACGAACGTTTCGGTGTAAATACGATATGTGCTTGGAAATGAATAGTTGAACCTCCAGACATTGCTGACCTTTATATACTTTAACATTGCGATGCATGAAAGGTACAAGACGTATTCATGGAGATTGCAGATTTGTCTTAAATTAGTTCTGTTTTTGTTCATTAGGAAAAATTTAGTGACAGGCATTGACACAATTTAAGGGTATAATAAGGATTCGTTGCGTTTTAGGTTAGTTAAGGCAAAATGATAGCACAAAAAAATTGTCTTTAAAAAATGTACGGCAGTTCAAATTTGTTTAAACTCTAATTACGTTGCCTTCATTGGTTATTCTAAATTAGTCTACCACGGCGCAATATGGCCTCAGTATAGCTTTTCCGCCATTAAACCCCTAATCATAATCATCCTCTCACCCTACATGAACTGCAGCAAGAGTGACGAAAGTAATCCCTGGAGAAGGGGAACAAGAGGGACAAAGGACAAACAGAAATCTCCAAACACAGCTAGGTGACCGGTGCGCGACCGAAAAAATCCCCCTGGTCCGGGTTTCGAACCCGGGACCTCTCCATTACAGGTGGAGCGCTCTACCAATTGAGCTAACCAGGGGTTAGACTTCAGTAGAGCAAACGGGTTTTATCAGCCGCCACCGGTCTAACACCAACAAGGGTGAAGCTCGAAGGTCGCGCACCAGTTACCTAGCTGTGTTAGGAAGTTTGTGTTTGTCCTTTGTCCCTCTTGTTCCCCTTCTCCAGGGATTACTTTCGTCATTCTTGTCCAGCTCGCTTGCACCTTTGCATTGAATTGCATTATAATGCAGCAAGAGCTTTGACAGACGATCTCGCTGCGCGAGTGTTGTGCTGACGCATTGCGTTGCATGCAAAAGGCTCGTTTCTTCATAGTCCGTTGCAGGTCAAGAATAGCGGGTCAAATTCCTTGCACAAAGTTCTCTCCATGCGCGGTGGTTTCCCCCTCTCCAGCGTTGGCTCTGCTAAAGTCGAAAGGGTGGAGCGTGTTGCGCTTCTTTCGGGTTGCAACAGGCTGAAACGCACTCCGTGTAAGTTGCAACCAAGTGGCACTTTTTAAGAGCCACTTAAAGAACGTCCCGGAGTGTTTTTGCGTCCGGCACGGCTCACTCTCACAAGATGAGCATCCAGCCAAAAATGGTTGCGCATATAGTCCCTAAAATGCAACTCTTTGTTAGCAAACTTTGTCTCGCTATTTTGTCGGTCCCTGGCGACGAGGTGACCTATTCTGAAACATGAGATTGAATGAGTTTAGTTCGGGTCGTCCGCTTTTTTTCGATTTGTCTTTGGTTTAATTCCAAATTCGTCTTGAGTTTGATTTTTCTTTTTCTTTTTATAGCAGTTTGGTTTGGTGTTTTGTGATTGTGTAGGTATAGCGTCCGCACTGACTGGATCGGTGAGGGATTGCTAGCTAACCTTGTGATCCTCTTTGTGTCGGTGTGCAGGCGATCAAGTACTGCGACCACGTGCATGGCAAGTGGCACTTCTCCGAGATCCGGGCCATCTTCTCCCGGCGCTACCTCCTCCAGAACATTGCCCTGGAGATCTTCCTTGCCTCCCGAAGTGAGTCTCTTTCCTGCCGACTACGGCTGCGGGGCTTCGAGTAACCGCGGTTTCAAGTACGATTCTACTATCGCCCTTAGTCTACGCAAACGCAGAAACGAAGACAACTGGTAGTCGGAACTGATGGAAAGAACCTGCAAGACGATCCAAAAGTTCCAAAGTGCCAACCAACGAGGCAGCTCTTTCTCTAAAGGCCCTTTCACTCTGAGGCAACAGTTGGACAACTCTATCCGGCAACACAAGGAAGTCCTCTACTGCCCCCCCCCCCCCCCCCCCCCCAATATGATTAGTGCTAGCTTTTGCCGGTTTCCTTACTGTTTTTTTTTTTTTTTTTTTAGATATAAAACGTAAAAGGGTTCTTTTGTAGCATTGCCGTTCCATCCAGTGATTTGTTTTCTTTCTTTTTTTTTTGTTTAGTTCTCTTTAACAAAACGTCAGTTGTTCCTGGGTTCTTTCTCCTTTTCTTCTCTGCATTTCGGATAGGGATGTGCCAGTATCGCTTGGAATTCAAACAGCGAAGTGCCGTAAAGTGAGCCTGTATGTCACGGTTTTCTCCCGCAATCTGAAAGCTACGAATAACCTGGCGCTATTCTATTCGAAGTACTGTTCGCAACTAAAAGAAGAGTGAGTGCGCAAGCGACCTGGTGAATACTCGGCCTGACTGAGCCCCAGGCAGGGGAGGAAAAAGGTATACACTCGAAAAGAAAGAGGGACAGCACCACACTTTAGAAGAAAAAGGTGTTTGAGCAAGGTCAGCGAAGGCGGCATAAATGTGTTCGGGCTTGGTGCACCTCCCGACAGGGCGGCGCTGTCGGCTTGGGGCCTTCGCGCAGGCGCAGTGGGGCGCCACGCGGCATGTGAACGTATGCGCGAGAGAGCACGCTGGCGCCATCTATGCGGCGAACCTGGAACTGCATTTTACTAGAGCTGAGGTTTCGAAGAAATTTGGGAGAACATATGTTCTTACTAATTATGAGAAACGGTCCTTCTAAGAGGTTTGAAGGCACACGGTCTTAAGGAGTCGCAACTGTGTGAACGGGCCTTTACGTGCCGCGCCATCTCGCGGCGTTTGTCAGAAATGAGAGTGAGCCTTCGCCACACTCGCTCCGTGGTGATGTGGCGCCGTTCGGAGAGATCTCTCTTGTTCCACCGGGGATACCAGACACCGTTTCCGATTCGCACATCTCTAGCTTCGTATATATGTGTATATATATATGGTAATTCTTTCGCCTTTTCAGATTAACAAACAAAAATCAGTCTGGGTCACGTTGATGCCTTCGATGCCGACCTTAATAGAAATTGCGAAGTTATTGCGGTGCTGCCTAATATTCGAGCCGATATTGTTTTGTCTGGCGCGCGGTAAAGAGACCAGTAGCAGATACGCGTGGCGGTATGAGCACTAATTCGCGCCTAGGCGGGGGAAATATTTGTTTTCTGTCTCCGGTTGCTCTGGCCTGCGGAGCCGTAGCTCATGGCGGAGCCTACGAGGAGGAGGGGGAGTGCGGCGATGGGGGCGTTGATTTAAAGCGCGCGCCTGCGGGCTCTGGCGCTCTCGACGCGACCGGGAAGATTTACGGGCGGCGCCTGTGCCGCGGTGGCAACGCCGAGACTCTGACTCGGGCACTGTCTGCCTTAAACCCCCTCCTTCTCCTCCTCCTTTCTCTCTAGTTCTCTCTTAGTTCAGTGATGCAAACAACGAGGATGAAACTTCTTTTTTCTTTTTTTCTCCTCTCTCTCTCTCGGCGCAGTAGCGCTTCTTTCGTAGCCTCGAAACCGCGAGTCTTGATTTTTTTTTTTAAGGTTTTCATTTAAATCGTATAACGTCAGAGATAAACCAGTATGATACTTGAAAGCAGTGATACACCAGTATCACTGCGAAAGCCAGTCTAAACTTGCCTCTTTCGAAGGACCGTAGATATACGCCACGTCTGTTATACCCGCACAAAATGTATTATTATTTTTCTTTAAAAATAAAAGGAAAAGAAAGATGCATACTGTTACCAACTTTACAGCGCACAATTAGCATACACAAAAAGCAGAGCATACACACCGCGCTGAAATCACAATTATATTTTGTAATCCGTCTTTGTTTACTTGTATACGTCCATGGAACCATTGCACGAAATTGTCCGCTATCATCTGCTTAGGATTGTGCAACTGTGTAGACGTGCCGCACACTCGCAACTCCGGTAGTGAAGTCGTATATGTGCACAGTTCCCACTGGCGATGTTGTTCTTGTGTTCGCGGAGTCGATCGTTCTAGATCGTTCAGACTCTGTCCAGTCTACCCGATGTATCGTTTATCACAGGAAAGGGAGAAGGAGTACACTTCCGTGCACTGAACAAAGCTGATGTGTGTGTGTGTGTGTGTGCGTGCGTGCGTGCGTGCGTGCGTGCGTGCGTGCGTGCGTGCGCGCGCGTGTGTGTGTGTCTGTGTGTGTGTTTTAAATTCAGTTACAGATATGTGCGAAGGTCTGTTCACTTTTTTTGCATAAGCTGGGGTGGAGTGGTGAAGACCACTTCAACGTACGTTGACCCTATTGGCTACTTTATTGACACCATTGGAGATAACTTGCGAATGTAGGATACAACTGCAGGTCTAGTTGTCTTGTCGCTGTTTTTTTTTTTTTCTTTTACTCAGCGGCCTATGTTAGTAAGGGACTAGGCTATCCTAGTGACGCGTGGTGCAGGCCATCAAGCGTTCGGTGTCGTGTAATGTATTCTTGCGATAAGAAAAATATGTTCCTTCGGAAAGCACCTGATATGCAGGGTTGCCGAGCTGGTGCGTATATTGATTAGCCTTTGCGCGCCTCCAAGCTGAGCGGATTGCCTTTCGGATGTTGCTGTTGTTGTTTGTAGTTTACTGTTGCGTAAATTAATGGGTCACACGTTGGTAGATTAACATTCTTCGATCGTCATGCTGTAACATGTACACTGAAAGTTTGCACGTTCTAGCCTATTGTGTTCATGATAGTATACGCGCGCGCGCTCCCACACGTATGCGTGCGCAACATTCTATTCGTTTTTTTTTTTTTTTTTTTTTTCTCAAGGTATATTCCAAAAGCGTTTATTACGAATATTTGGTGTATAGCGAAAAAGTTTATTGCGAATATTCGTTATATAACAAAAGTGCTTATTGCGAATGTTCGGTCTATAACGAAGCGGTTTATTACGAACGCGTTTGATTGATGAAAACTGCTAGCGCTTACTCGAAGCGCTTAGTTGTTCAGCACCTGCGGATTGTAAATCGAAGTCAACTTCTATCTTTGTCTCATCGACGCCGGTTTATTTTAAGCCGCAACTTTTCCACAAAAAATAAAAAAAATGTTTTTTGGACGTTGGGACGGCGTCTTTGTTCTTTTAGTAATATTCGGGTTGTTGGTGGGTCCTCAAACCAGTTTGACAATTCTGTGAAGGCGTCAACCAGGGTCTCTTTCGATGTTGTTGTGGAAACGCGTCGTCCGCTGCTGCTGACACGCCGAGTAACTTTAGGCTCGATGTCGGCGCCAGGCCTCTCAAAGAGAACCTCTTTTCCGACAGGAGGGGAAGGATAGGCGGACAGAGAGAGAGAGAGAGGAGGAAAGGAGCAGGTTACAGAGGGCCTGGTTGAAAGACGCGGTTACCGCTCTTCTGGACCCGTTGACAACTCGAGTGGTGGGGGATGGTGGCGGAAAACTCAATCCCGTTGACACCCCCCCTCCCCGGGACGCTCACCTTGCTTGGGATAGGAATCCCCCGTCCTCCTTCCGCTCTGGTGGCCGCCCTGTCAGGTTTCGGTGGTTGTTTGAGTGTCGACCAATCGGGACTTTTCGTCGCCTTCCGGGGATACTTGATCTTGCGCCAGGAGGACCACTCTTCGCAGTCGTCAAAACATTACCTATGCCGTGGCTCGATCTATATAGACCTTCAGGTCACTTTGTTTCAAAAATATCGATGTCCCTTATCTATCGGCATGTTAATTCTTTTTTTAATCTAGAAGAACGTACATTCACCGGGGTAATATTGCGATATGCAATCTGTGGTCACCGATTTGCAGCACCTACAGTTGCTCTCGCAACGGTTCCTCGTCCCTCCAAAAACCTGTTGTGACATGTTTTCTTTTCTTAAATTTTATTTACAGTGCAAGTAACAACCGAAAAAACGTCAGTGTCATTTTCACGCTATCTTAGTCGTACAATTTCTGTTTTTTTGTTTTTTTTTTTTTTTTGTGCGACTAATTTTGTAGCGCCCCGCCACACTGCAGCGACGAACACCACTAAACAGATGCTCTAATGCATCTAAAACATTAAAAAAAAAAAAAAAAACTTTGAGTTGGTGATTTTTGCTTTAAACGCCGAGCGTTTTAAAGCACCCTGGCCGCGCTGACAGGGTTAGAACGCCAGGGAAAATCTTTCGGTTGTCCCGCCCCAGCGCGAGTTCATTGCCTTCGATAGCGCTTCGGCGTCTCGTAAGGCTCGAGCATGCTCGCGCAGCCCTTGACCATGCACGCGCAGCCAGTGCACGACGAAAGACGATGATCGCTCACTATCGGAAAGAGGCGCCTTGTCGTTCTCGCCCTGGTAGTGAGTAAACAAAAAATCGGTGAATCCATCTCTCTAATCCGTTCACCCTAACCGCTCATTCACACTGGAAGCGGATCCGCGTTCGCAAAGCGGTTGTATGAAGGTCCAGTGCAGTTGCACGCGCACACGATGACATCAAGTGCGCGTGCAATTGTATTGGATCTTTATACAACCGCGTTCGCAACCGCTTTGCTAACGCGGATCCGCTTCCAGTGTGAATGAGCGGTTAGACTGCAGCCTCAGGAACACTAAAAAATAAACCAACCAGGAGCCTTTTTTTTTTTTTACTTTTTGGAAAGGTTTTAGTAATTCTGCTGCGTTTGCCCTTGTTCGTTTCACTGCTCGCGATCGCGCAACGCAACGCCACGCTCGCGGAGAATTTTCGGGGGAGTCCTGGTCGTGGGCTCGCGATGGCACGCGCTGATTCGTCTCGGGTTCT